TATTCAACTGACTCTGAGGTCCACCCTGAACGACCTTCAGCCTGTTCCTGTCCCCAAGATGGGCAAACATTGCAAGCAGCAAACAGCAAACAGCCCACACTGACCTTGGAGCCAGGCGCAGGGGTCAGAGACCTCCCCCAGGCCCACCCTGCTCCAACCTCCCTCTTGGTCTCTAAGACCCAGGGGTTGTCCTGGCTTGGCTAGGTGTGAGGGAGCCAGGTTCAAATTCACCACTTGGTGGCTGAGGAGCCATTGGCCCCCAAGCCTCCATGTTCTCATCTGTAAAATGGGAATGATGAAGATGTCCACGCCATAGCGCTGTTGTGTTAATTCAGTGAGTTAAGGCGCCAAACCACCACCTGCCGTGGTGCCTAGTGCAGAGTGTGTGCTCAGAAAACACAAGTTTGGGGCGCCTGGGTGGCTCAGTCGGTTAAGCGTCTGCCTTTGGTTCGGGTCATGATCTCAAGGTCCTGGGATCGAGCCCCACGTTGGGCTCCATGCTCAGCGGGGAGTCTGCTTCTCCCTCTCCCTCCCCCCTGCTCATTTTCTCTCTCTCTCTCACTTGCTCTCTCTCAAATAAATAAATAAAATCTTAAAAAAAAAAAAAAAGAAAGAAAGAAAACACAAGCTTAATAAACAGCCTCTGACCTTGACTGAGCACCCCTGCAGTGTATCTGGTGCTGCTTATAGCAATTTACGTGAACAGTCTCCCCTACTCTCCAGGGCAGCTGACAAAACAGGCCCAGAGAGGTTAAGCACCTTGCACCAGGTCACACAGCAGGGCAGATGGTGGAGCCAAGCTCTGAACCCCACTCACCTCGTGGCTGCCCACAATGCACGGTGGGCTTTTCTTTTTCTTTTCTCTCATGGTCAAATACAGAACATAAAATGTACGACATCAACTGTTTTAGGGGCACGCTTCAATGACATTAGGTACATTCCCAATGTTGTGCCCCCATCATCACCATCCATTTCTGGAACTTTCTCACCTTTCCAAACAGAAGCTCTTGGAGGTTTCATTTTTTTTTCCCCCGGAGGTTTCATTTTACATATTATTGTTACCCGGGAGCTGCGGGGCACATTTGTTGGGCACCTACTGTGTCCGAGAGCCCACGCTGGGGCCCCTGGAGGGAGAAGCATTCTGCTGGAAGTTGCTGGGTCAGCACGAAACTGCCCAGTAGCTGCCCCTTGTCCGGGGAGCGGGGGGGGGGCATTCCATGACCCTCAGGGGATGCCTGAAACCAGAAATAGTGCCAAACCCTGGATCTACTGGGGTTTTTTCCTATCCCTACACACCTATGATAAAGTTTAACATAAATTAGACACAGTAAGAGATGAACAACAATGATGAATAATGAGCTAGAACAGTTATAATAATACACTGTAACTAAAGTTAGGGGAGTGTCTCTCTCTCTCCCAAAGTGCCTTGTTGAACTATACTCACCCTTCTTCATGTGATGATGTGAGATGATAAAATGCCCACATGAGGTGAAGGACACAGATACTGTGACGTGGTATTTGGTGACTGTTGGCGTATTGTCAGATTATCTGCTTCCAAACCTTAATTGACCTCCGGTAACTGAAACTGTGGATAAGGGGGGACTACGGTGGGGGGTGCCTGGGGGGCTCAGACGTTAAGCATCTGCCTTCGGCTCAGGTCATGGTCCCAGGGTCCTGGGATC